CGGAACATAGTAAAAGCACTACGGTTTATCACCATACTACTATTTCTCACAGCATGTCTTCCGATAAATAATTTCAAAAAATATAGCCCCTTTTGATTGAATCCAAACCATTGGAATTATTTCAATTGTTCAATTTTTAACTAACAAATGCCAAATAAAAGACCCAGAGGTAGTACAATTTAGGGAACATCTGATATTCAGAGTTAAAATTTTAAAAAATTAATATTACGAGAAGAGCCTACATAAAAATACCATTTTGTAAATATTTTAAATTCATGTTAGAACAAAAAAAAAGAGAAAATATACACTAGAAATACAATTTTAAAATATCATAAATTATGTTTGAAATTCATATTTTTAAAAACAACTTTATGCAGAACTACAATTTAAACTCAAAAATAAACACTAAAGAAAACTAAAAGAAGATACCATGTAGATTAAACAATAACCAATTCTTTATAAGATTTGGATTAAAAAATAAAATAATTAATATTGATAGAAGAGTGCATGTGGAAATAATTCAGAAACATCTGAACTTTGGAGTAAAAATAAATAGTACTAAAGATAGTTCATGTTGAAGTACAATTTAGAAATACTAAAATATTTGATAAAATTAAATATTATAAAAGGGACTTCATGGAGATTACAATTTAGAGATATTATAACTTCAGACTAAAAATAAATAATAAATGATATTAAGAGAAAAGGTTCATATAGGAATACAGTTTAGAAATATCTTTAATTCGGGTTAAAATAAATATTATTGAAAAAAGATTTAGTGTAGGAGTATAATTTAGAACATTTTAAATCTTGATTAAATGTAAAAGGTATTAAGAAAAGAGTGCATACCTTTGCTTATGTTGATTGGAGGTTCTTCTACGAGTCCCACATTAATCGTACGAGGTTAAAATAGCTAGAAATTCTTGCTTTAGTTGAAGATAAAGAAAATGGCTTTGATTTGCCTATGTTGCCAAGGTACATTAAAAGTAAAATACCTAACGGATGAGGCTAAATCCTCAAACCTATAATAACATAACAGGGAGTTCCTAGAATCCATACCATGAGCAACAACAAAAGAAACAAAATATAAGAAAAGCACTAATGATGAAGTGGTGATGATGATGGCATTTCTTATTTAAAACGGGTTATAAACTATCACGAATATATGATACAGTACGTGAAAGAATATAATTAGAGATAATAAAAAGATGCCACTAATAATCTAAAGATAAAGATGGAGAGAAGTGAGAAAAAAAGTTATGTTGTCATTCCACTGACAATAAATGTGAAAGAATATATACTCTATTACATGTGGTAAAAAGTATAACGATGCTAGCAACGCAATCTATACAAGTCACCACGCTAGTTCTACTTAAAGTTTGGCTCCTAATTGATATAAAAATAAATACAACTTTACCTTTCCAATTCTCGAAACCTAGCTAGGCTTTAGCACTGTTAATACTATCAATATTTTGACAAGGCATTGGACCAAACTGGCCCATAGAACCGGAAACGCACAAAGTGGTGATCCATCCTGGTTGGGCAAAGAATCACCATCAAGTTGAATAAAGTTCTAATGATCCGCGGAAAGACATGCATGGGTGGAAGAAATCACCAAGTATATATTCGTACTGCCACTCATGCTTGTCGAAGATCCCCATAATAGTGGTCTCGAGAAGGTGACTTTGCTGTGTGCATTACAGGTCCTCCTCATGTAATAAAGCCCAAAATTTGATCCAATAAAGGTGGATAAGAGATGCCCATGGCAACACCCCGTGCGTGCATGCATTATTCTATCTCCTCAACCCCGAATATAAAAAAAGAAAAGCGGATCAAGGCAACACTAGTATATATATAGCACTTCATCTTGGACATTTATACTTTTAATATTTTAAAAAATCTCGGCAGATGAGGAGAGACCGTTCTCATAGTTTTGCACTAAGAAGAAGCTCTTTCTAGCTAGCCTGGTGCTCCTTTTATTTTTGCAAATCCTAGGTTTGAACCTAGGACCAACCAGCAGCTTCTAAACTGGAAAGCACCACTGAGCAAACAACCCATTTGCGCTTTTAACATTTATCATAAAATATATATGGTGGTCAATTGATATTTAACTCAATATTTAAGTGTTTACTGATGTATAATAATGGAGAATTATTGTCGCAGAATTTAGCTCGAGAATTTTTTTTACTCAAGATGTCAAGGATGGCTATGCTGGAACATACTACAGGAATAATTGAGATCGAATCTATTAAAACATTAGGTGTATGAATGCTGATACACCAAAGGGCACAAGAGTTGGATTTGTTTTAAATGATTGGCTCTACAGCTGTTGATCTACATAATTAGATTGGAATGGATTGCGACGACCATGCATTGAATTGAATCATCATTCATCAGGTTTCTCTTTACACACCATCGTGCTATTCCTTCAACCAATCAAATCTTCCTTAACCATATAGGAAAACAATGCTTGAAGCTTTTGGTGATGCAACCAGGTTGATAACTAACATCCATAAATTGCTTACTAGTGACAGGAGAACGATCTTGGCACAGAAAGGGATTAGATGGCGACCACTTTAATACTGAAATTTTGTACCAAACAAACAAAAATTAGGTTTAGTATTGAAAACGTATGTAACTGTATGTCATGGTAATCAAAATTTTTCAAAACTTTTTAAGTGTGTTGTTTGAGAAGGTTTTGTTATAGTGCGTAACCCGGCCCACGGCTGGTGGACCACCTAAATCACATTAGGTCTGCTGCACCAAATATCCATTTGGAGCTACAACTTTAGGTCATGAGACTACACAACCCAAAAAAACTAGTTTGATGTGTGAGAAGTGCTCTCACCTTTACGTTGTACTCCCCCTCATCAATTAACAATGTGCGACTAAACCAACAATCTCTCCCATCACATCCACCCATGTGACCCTAAAGACTCGTCATCTAGCCTCTCCCACCATGTGACCCATGGGAATTATTTTGTATTCCAAACCTGGGCTATGATACCACTTGTTATATGCGCAGCCCGGCCCACCAACCGTGGGCCGCTTAGGTCACATTGGGTATATGCTCCACCACAGATCCAACCGAAGCTATAGCTTTAGATCCTGAGCTTACACAATTCTAATACCAATCTGATTGATGAGGACTTCCCTCACCTTTTAATTAATGCTTCCTCTCAATTATCGATGTGGGACTAAACCGAACGAATTTTATTTTTTCCTTCAAAACTTACCCAAAACTTGCCGTCCTTGTGCCTCGGAGTTATGGTGTATTTACTTGTACTATTTGCCTTTGCCTTTGTCTATGGGAAAATTGAAAAAGGCATAATTAGAGCCACAAGTTTTAGCTTATTGGAAAGCAACAATATTCATTTCTAATAATTTGTTTCAAATGGAGCCATAACTTCCATCCGTATCAATCAAGATTGATTGCCATGGATTTTCAAGATCGTTTGACAAGATGAGGCAAGCCTTGTTATGGAAGGAACGGTCTAACGTTACTTAACGATGCGATCAAGTGTGTCGTGGTGGCACGTACAGCCTGAAAGGAAGTGGTAGGACTGGTTGTTTTGTCACACTCAAACTCAATGTCAACCAAGAGGCGTCGCTATTCCTTCTTCTTTTCTTTTATTTTTAATTGAACGGCGAGGCGTCGTTTTTGTTGCATCATATAGCGGGTGTCCGAAGTGGCTGTCGAAGCTTCTGGCCGGATTCAGTGGCGCACATTCGATGGCGCACCGGCTTTAAATTTCTCTGGTGCGGCTGTACTCTAACCTTATACCCCATCGATCCTGTAATACAGTAACCTAACATCAAATTAGATATATAAATTCATATAGATATGTACTATGATGTGTCTGATTTGATTTTAGTTTACTATATATTTAAAACTTGAGAGTAGTCTTTTTCCACAACTCACATCGGCAACCTACTTATTTTCCGTTAGGACACTTTTTTGATCGGCTAAATGATACTCCCTCCGTCCTATAATATAGGGGATTTTGATATTTTGTTTGCACTGTTTGACCATTCATCTTATTCAAAAAATTTTGGAATTATTATTTATTTTATCTGTGACTTACTTTATTAACCAAAGTATTTTAAGCACAACCTTTTATTTTTTATATTTGCATAAATTTTTTGAATAAGACGAGTGGTCAAACGTATATTAGGGGACGAAGGTAGTACGTTTTGTACCAATGTTTTCTATATAAAAGTTTCTTAAAAACAAGAAAAAAAATCAATTTTTCAAATTTATAATAATTAATAAATTAAGTCTTCTAATAAATGGCGGGCCACTAATTAATAATTTTTTTCACATGTATTAAGACGCTTTGCTTGATTTTGAAATTGTCTAGAGTATTTTATGTAGTTTTTATTGCAAAATGATGGAACTCCTTTTGTAACTTTCCAACTACGAGTACGAGAATTGAAAGACATGAAAATTATAATTTCTCTATGGTTTCTAAGAGATAGATAGAATATATTCAGGAACATGAAAACCAGAAGAAATCAATCGTTCGCTAATAGCTTATTTTATTTCGCAAGTTGTTAAAAATACGAGTACGAGAATTGAAAGACATGAAAATTCTCAATTCTCTATGACGTTTAGGAGATAGATAGAATATTTTCAGGAACATGAAAACTATAAGAAATTAATCGTTCGCTAATAGCTTATTTTATTTTGCATGTTGTTAAAATTTTTTGTCAAACCGTCCAACCGAAATGGCCCTAAGTTAAGCTGCATTTGGTTAGAGAAGACAGAAACTTTTGTCCCACGGATGCAAAAATAAAAGATTAATTAAGTGTTAGCTAAATAATTTTAAAAATTAGATTAACATGATTTTTGAAAACAAACTTTCTCTTAGAAAAACAAACATACTCATGGAAAACGAGCCATCAGTAAAGCGAGGGTATTGGAACACTGAGTTACTGAGTTAGACGTCTCAAGCTGTGTCGTGGAATAAAAAGGGTACAGATGTTCCATTGTGCGTGCGAGCTTCGAGCGGCGGCCACGGCGCCACCTCGTCTTGCCTTTCCCCCGCTCTGCTTGGTGCTAGTGGCTGGTCGGCCCTCCCCTCCCCTCCTCTCCACTCGGTGGGTTTGGCCACTGCACTGCACGCCTACACCCAGCCGCCGAGACGAGGAGGAGCAGCGCAGAAAGTTTTCGCTCTTCGATCTTCCGCCCAAGTTCTTCGCTCGCATCCTCCATCGGTCTTCTCTTCCTAGCTTTCTGATGGAACGAAGGTAAGTACGTACACATCTCTTCCATCGCCATGCTTCGATTCCTATCCTACTCATCGATTATTCTGTTTTTCTTTCGATTTTTCGATTCTGTTTTTCATTTTTTAGATTGCAAGCTTTTCGTTTTCTTGTACCACCACGTGCTAATTCAAGGGAAGCGTTAAATGTACGCCAACCTTCTCTTTCTTCTCCGTTTCAAAATGAAAGTAATCTCTTCGTTTATACTCTGCTCCATGAATTGCTTGCAGGAGTATAAACGGCTTGGCAGCAATGCAAGCTGAGTGAAAGAGGAGGTATGGAAAAACTTGTTCCAGGGCAATCTTGACTTCACACATTGGACCAAATGGTGCCAAGCCATGGCCGGCCTGCTTGTACCTGCAGCTTGAGGAATCCAGAAAGCTCGCCAATTTGACTCCCACGTATGTTCTTTTCTCCTCCACCCTTTTGTTACCACCCCTGTCCTTTTATTATTAACAGTCACGGCAAGCAATCTATGCTTGTGTGATGCGAGGTTCATATCATGTTTAATAATGGGTAAGTGTACCTTAGTTCAATGATCGAATACCCCGGATAAGTTTGATGATAGTAAATAAATACTTGGTTCATCGAATCAGTTTGAATCAGTACAAGTTTTGAGTATTTATTCGTACAAAGATCCCGCTACACATTCAGTCACTTTGCATATATTCCCTGCATGTACACAACACTCAACACATATAAAGATTTAATGAGCACAACATTTGCTAATATTATTGAGTTCTTTGACATGCTACTGTAGGCATTTTGAGCAGCTGAGCAACAATGGAATTCGGAGGGGTATTGCAGTTGTGGAATGAATGGGGGGTACAGATGCTGGTCCTAGCAAGCTTCGCGTTGCAGGTGTTCCTCCTCATCTTCGGAGGGATCCGGCGGCACAGCTCCTCCTCCGTGCTGATGTTCTTCCTCTGGTCGGCGTACCTGCTGGCCGACTCCACGGCGATATACACCCTGGGCCACCTCTCCGTCGACGGCAGGTCCGACGAGCACGAGCTGGTGGCATTCTGGGCGCCGTTCCTCCTGCTGCACCTCGGTGGCCCAGACAACATCACCGCATACGCGCTCGAGGACAACACGCTTTGGTTGCGCCACCTGCAGACTCTCGCCGTGCAGGTTTTTTTTTATTGAATTCAGTCAATTACATCAAAGTGATACAACCGTCTGAGAGTACACTCCTGGTGCAGGTTCTAGGAGCTGTGTATGTGATTTACACATACATTGTCGGCAGCGGGACCGATCTTCTGATGGCCTCAGTCTCGATGTTCATCGCCGGACTTCTCAAGTACGGCGAGAGGATATGGGCGCTCAAATGCGGCAACATCAGCAGTATCCGCAGCAGCATAAGCACCAGAAAGTTCAAGACTGACCCTTACGAGTTGCTGGCATTGGGTACCAGCGAAGAGGAGCTGCTGCTTGGAGCCCACTCCCAATTCGACATCTGCAAAGGCGTCTTTGCCGATATCATAATGCTGCCAAATCCGTCGCTCCTCTCGCGATCCAAACGGCGATCGGTGATATCCTACCTGGGGATGGATCTGTACAAGCTGGTGGAGATGGAGCTGTCCCTGATGTACGACTTCCTCTACACCAAGGCAGCGGTGATCCACACATGGTACGGCTTCTGCATCCATTTCGTCTCGTTGTTCGGCACGGCCACCACGTTCCTGCTGTTCCAGCTGATCATCAGCAGCAGCAGAGGAGATGGGTACAGCAGAGAGGATGTGGTCATCAGCTATGTGCTGCTGGTTGGGGCCTTGGTCCTGGAGATCATATCAGTGTGCAGGGCTGTGCTATCCACCTGGACATGTTCTCTGATGCACCGGAGGGGCAGGGCATGGGAGTGGCCTCTCCACATTATCACATCCTTTAGCCGCCGTGTCCACCCGGCAAGCCGGAGACTCTGGTCAGGCTCAATTGGGCAGTACAATCTGTTCCACCTTTGCGCCCGCAACACGAACGAGATTGGGAGTAGGTTGGCAACCAGATTGGGGCTCCAGGACTGGTGGAACATGATGCACTTCTCGGGCACCTTCTCGAATACCGGCTCTTTCTCAATACAAGATCTCAAGAAACTGGTTTTGCAAGCACTGGAAGAGAAAGAGCGAGCGCTGCAATACAAGGATACCGACCTGAACTCCAGGGGCAGCTTCATACTCAAGAGTATGAAGGCCTATGACGACTTTGCCCGATGGAGCGTCAACATCGACTTCGACGAGAGCATCCTTGTTTGGCACATCGCGACCGAGCTGTACATCCGGAGATCCAAGGCCAGGCACGCGAAAGAGCTCGTTGAGGCTACCGAGGTGCTGTCCAATTACATGATGTTTCTGCTGGTGGTGAAGCCCAACATGCTGCCCGGTGCTGCACGACACAACATACATCTCCCCTCCTGTGAACAGATAGAAGGGCATTGTCGTATGGGCTTTGGTGGTGAGAAGGATAACCCGGTGGCGGCATCGCCCATAAGCTGGAACCCATACTGTATGCTCAAGGAATTGCTCCACCATGATGGCCCTAGTTGCTCAAGTATCCCACGGAGGGAGAAGCTCGCGGAGATCGTGTGGAGTTTCTGCCAATTCGCACTGGTATGGACTGTGGCGCCAACTTCATTCTTACTGTTCAAAAATCTATTTGTTAGTCTTGGAACAACGTCCCAACTCCCAAGTTCTGGCTTATTTCACTGTTTGCAATTTCAGTTCGTAGGTATACCTTCGATTGCAATTCAACTGAAACTCATGTCGTCAGTAGATATATTTGAGACTAAAAAAGATCCTGACAAGTTTAATTTCGTTTTTATACTTTCTGACTTTACTGAGTCTACCTAAATTGCACCTGAAAAATAGCATTTCCAGTTTGATTTTATTTGAGCGAATTCTCTTACTTAGTCGAAATTGCTGACATTGTTTCCTCAGGCAAACTCATCATTGATTTCAGTAGACTTTGTTGGTTGAAATGAAGTCAGGAAACAGAGTTAAACATAACTTTCAATATGATACCACACAAATATTAAAATGTGCACTACTTTACATCCACTTATGGTTAAAATAGACATTGCTAGTCTACCCCTGAAATTCTAAAAGGAGCATACATACTAACACAAACTATTTTGCACTATTTTTTTTTACTAATTGCCCTCCTCTGTCTCAGGGATCAGTAAAGGCACCAAATCCACACGGCGAATCCATCCGCGACAGTGCAAACATGTACTCGGTGTTGCTCGCCAACGAGCTTCTCGGCATCGAGTCGCGGTGGTGTGAGCAGCGTGACACCTTGGAACTCATCCTAGGGGTGTGGGTGGAGATGTTGCTGTACGCTGCGAACCATTGCAGCCAGGAGTCGCATGCCAGGCAGCTCAGCAATGGCTGCGAGTTCATCACCATCGTGTCGTTACTAGCACACCACTTCAAGTACTACTCTGGAGCATCCAGGGGCGCGGACGAGCTGTATGAGAGTAACCCTTCAATGAGAACGGTGAGAAGTTGGTCTAGATCCCTTTCTTAATGAAATTGGTCGTACTGAATCTTTCGGCCGACCCGGCAAAAGAAGTTGGTATAGATGAATTCTATCAACGGTTTCGCTCTTTCCTCTAGTAGAAGCAGAGGATTCAACACTTCCATCCATGTAACCAACCGTTGTTATCTCGTTGTTATCGGTAAACAAACATACTCCCTCTGTCAAGAAATGTAAGCATTTTCTGGCTATGCGCTTGGACAAAATGCTTATATTTGTGGATAGAGGCGGTAATTATTGGGATATATAGAGTAACACAAGTTGGAAGATTACTTGAATGGCTGTGTATGCCAAGGGCGGTTGTGCAAAACCATCATTAACAAGAACCTTTTGCAACTCACTATCGATCCGATGGTTCACAAAAAAATCTATTATCCCACTGCATCCTGTTCTTGTGACCATTTCGTTCCTTGTTGGCTGGAATATTTTTCTTCCTGCAAGAACTAAGGAATTTTATGCCATTTTCCTTGGCATTACACACAGTTGAAAATCTCACCTCATGCTCCGCAGCTTAGGCTGCGTTTGAGACAAGCAGAAAGGAAAGAAAAATATTGGTTTTCCGCGTACATGCTTCCCTAACTGCTGAACGGTTCGATTTTTAGAAAAAAAAATTCTATAGAAATGTTGTTTTAAAAAATCAATTAATCCATTTTCAAATTTAAATTAATTGATACTCAATTAATTATATGCTAATAGTTTCATTAAATTAATTATACGCTAATAGTTTCATTAAAGGTTGGTGTCACGAGCGCCAGGTAGCGGGATATGAATGCTATGTAGGCGGCCGTGGCTTTGGCAACTTAGAAGATCGTCGGCCCGTGGTGACGATCGATGTTCTCCGGAAAGAAGAGATGAGAAAACAGAGAATGTAGAGATGAGAATTGTAGACTGAATTGGCTCGATGTTTATTCCCTGACGTTCTGCCTAAATAGACTTACAAATTAACTGAATATTCTAATTTTCTAATTTGAAGACATAATCAAATCTGAACTATAACTAACGCTAATCCTATATCTCCAAGCCGGTACTGTAGCGCATCCAACACGGGCGCCTTACGCCTCCTCCGCGCACACTGCATCTCCGTCATCATCGCGCACATCCGTTTTAGTACATTTGCCGCCCTTGCGCTTCCGATGTTAGCCGATCCCGACCATGATATCTCTCCCATCCATAGGAAACAGCTCGACGAGCTGGAAAGCTGGATAGCGACGCCGAAACTCGGCCTCGTCCTCCCAAGTCGTATCCGTTGCCGGATTTACCATCCCACGATCAATAATTCCCGAACGCCACGTGCAACGCGCCCGCGAACCGTCTTGTGTAGGATCGAACAAAACCAAACAAATCTACCTGATGGGGGTTATTGGTAGGGAAAACCATAAACCTAGAAACATTTAGCGGAAATAAAAGTTACCATCGAATCAATGGAAATCTCGACGTAGTCCTCGCCATAGCCCGGTCTGACCGGTCCTGCTACTGCTTGCTGCTGCCGGTTTGACTGCCGCCACGCCACCGGATAGACCACAAGTGTCTCGCCGGTTATACCGCTTGCTCGTCTTCGGTCAAACCGTCAAAATCCAGAAAAACACCAGTAGATGAATACTCAAAGATGTAGATCAAACAATCTCGACTTTAGTGCATCAAATAGTATTTACAAAGTACACCAACAGCACTCCTCACCAAAATCTCGACTAAACTTGAAACCCTAACTTTTCCTCCAACTCAACTCTTTCAAGAACCGATCCCGGGAGACCACACCCTCCCTCTCTATTTATACCTATAATGTGGTTACCCCTGGCCACAAATCCAACTCATACAAGAAATCCCCGCGAAAACCTTCCCATACAAGAAACAAACTTAACAAACTCCAATCTTCCTAAACTTATACTCCAATCCAAATTTGACCACGCTTTCCATACGCACACAACACTACGTGTATGCCATATGGAAACCTTCACCTCCATGTGCATTGTTCTCTAGCCTGAGCATCCCGTGTGATATTCTTGACCGTCCGGACCTCAACTTCCCCCAAGCTTAGTCCCGATCCATCACCGGCTATACTCCCATGGCCTCAAGCAACACCTGCACATGAACAACAAAGAAACTCCATATCCAAGTACAAGTTCGCACCAACTTGACTCACATCAGCACACAACAATATCACATACAAATAGAAACCATCTAGAAGTCGTAAACATGAAGCAATCTAAAAATTCCATGAAAACAACCCGAAACCTACTCCCACCTGTAGTCTGCCGGTCTGACCGTTGGGCAACCCGGTTAGACCACTCCAACACCACCGGCTTGACCGGTGGCACCCAACCAGTCGGACCGGCAATCCAGTGCTGACGCTGTTGTAGCGCCCGTTCCGTCGTGGCGCATAGCGGGAAAATTATCTCTTAAAAACCCTAATTGCGAAATTTGTTTCTTTGCTTGTTGTCTAGTGTCCGTGCCATCTCAAGATCTCAAATCCCCGATCTATCATCGAGTTCGATTCCGAATCCAAATCCTTCCAAATCAAATTCCTCCGCAAAAGTCTACTTTGCCTCCCTCGGGGTCGATGGGCCGAATCCCTCTCGGCCCATCTCCCCCTCCCTCCCGGCGCTCGCTCTCTCCCTTTCTCTCTCGCTCTCTCTTCCTCCGCTCCCTCCGCTCTGCCCGCGCGTGCGTGAGCCGCCGCGCCGAGCGCCTCCCTCCCCCTCCGCTCTGCCCGCGCGCGTGCGCGTGAGCCGCCCGCGCCGAGCTGAGCCCTCCTTTCCGCTACCTCGCTGCCGCTCTCCGCGCGTCATTCGCGCACGCGCGCCCGCGTGGTCGTCGCCCTCGTCGCGTCTGCGCCGCCCGGCCCCGCTGCCCTGCCGCGCCTGCAGCCGCTCGGCCCCGCAGCCAGCGCGCGTGCCCGAGCCGTGCCACTCCATCCGCGCGCAAGCCGCTAAGGGACGGAGGCAGAGCCCTCCTCCCTCTGCCGCGACGCCCCCGCTCCCCTCCTCCTTTTCCCAAAGAAGAAAGGGGCGAGCCCCCTTTCTCTCCCTCCTTTTCCCCTTTTCCTCCCGCCGGCGTCATCCTCCCTCCGCCCTGTCGCCGATTGGACATGAGCGCCGAGCGCCAGCTCGCGCCTTGACCGCCCAAAGTCGGTTTCCAAACCGACATTGCCGCCCTTAAAGCCCAGGCGCCCTCCCTCTCTTCTCCTCCCATCGCCTCCACTCCATTGTTGCCGCCGCCTTCCGAGCTCTGTCTCGCCTCCGCCGTTCATCGCCAAGCGCCGGGAGAGCCGGTGCGTTCGAGGACGCGGAAGGGGACTCCGGGCGTGCCCTTTCCTTCCTCTTCCCCGGCCCGAGGCCGGAGAGATCACTCCCGCGCCGTCGGCCTCTCGTCTCAGTGCCCCTCCTCGACTCGGTAATGCCTCCCTCCGTTCTTCCTCCTCGCTCCATCTCCCCCCCTTACTTTTCGGTAGTAGCTCGAGTAGCCTCCCCGTAGCTAGCCGGCGCCGCCCCGACCGTTGCCGCCGCTCGCCGTGTGCTCGCCGCCGTCGCCGCCCGTGCTCCGTAGCACCCGCTCGTCGCCGGCCTCGCTCGGCGTAGCTCCGCTCAATCCGACGCTAGCAACGAATCCCCATGGCCGCGTAGATGCTCTCACCGCCGGGAATTGGCCCGTCGTGACCTCGTCGCCGTTTCCCCCTTTTCTCTCCGCCGGGTGCCGCCGCCGCAATCCGCCGTCCCTCATCGTCGCAAGGCGTCCCGGAGAAACCACCGCCGCCCGCCGTCCATTCCCGGCCGGCGCCTTCGTCTTCCTCCCGCCAGCCCACGTGGCAGCCACGTAGGCGCCACGTCGGCGCCAGCTCGGCCGAGATCGGATCGGGCCGACCCCGGTCAGCCCCTCCCGTGCGCGCGTTCCACCGCGAGCCGTGAGGCTGCGCGTGGGCCCGCCGCATCCGTTTCTCCGCGAACCGCGCGCGTGCACCGCGTCCCTCCCCCGCCCGCGCGCGTGTGCCGCGTGCTCGCTCCGCACGGTGAACCGTGTCACCGACAAGCGGGTCCCACCCGGGACCGCGCGTGGTGAGCAAGGTCCACCGGCTCTCTCTCTCCTCCCTCCCCCGCGCGCGCGCGCCTTGGGCCGCCTTGGGCCGGCCGGCCCATTTAGCTCGGCCGGACCGCCCCAATCCTCTCGGGCCGCGCCCTAGCCACCGAGGAGAAGTCTATATTCCCTCCCTCTTTTCTTTTCTTTTCTTTTCTTTTTCAAAAAGGATTTAATTAAATCCTTTTCCTTTAGACCAAAAATCCAATAATCTTAGAAATTCAATATCTTCTCAACCGTAAATCCGTTTGACTACGTTCAACTTCCAAAATTCCTCAAATCTCGAGATCTATGTAATGGCACGTTAGAGGTCATTAATAGGGCTTTATTTTCGCCGTTTGTTGAGTTGTCCCGTTTCGCGTGTAGTTTCGGAGCCCGAAGACCCGCAGTGCGAGGATTTCGAGGATCAAGCTCCAGATCTCGAGCAAGGCAAGCCACCTTTGAACATCTTGAGCCTATATTTGAAATTTAATTATGTTGCTTGAAAAATATTATGCATTGATAGGACCGCACTTAATCTGTTGTCCCGTCTGCAAGGCAGATTGGCGGACCTACCTAATTTGTTGCATTTGATCCTTCCTTTGTCAATTGTTATATCATGTCCCCTTGTATCCATCTAGTTGCGTCTCGATATTCGTGCACCCTATGCGAGTACCGACGGACGCCTTCAAACTTAAAAATTTGAATAACAACTTGGGTAAAACTTGGGTTTTACAAAAGACATGGAAAACCCGACACCTGGGTCGGTGCTTGCGAACTAAATGAATTTCCAAAACCGCGGACCGGGGAACGTACCGGGTGTACGGTTTGCCGCTCTCGCACTTAAGGACCGATTCTTTGGAATTTCATCCAAACATAAGTCAAGTACGACCACATGGGTGGAATGGGACACCCCTGGCTGAGTAACTAGCTTATCAGGGGAGCCTTGATGCCGAGAGACATGTGGATTCGCCGGGGTGCTGTCGGGGAGGACCCCTGGGCTTCCTGGCACAGTATGGTCTGGGACCTAACCTGTTGTTGGTCTGGGACCCCTCTCGTCGGCATATAGTAAACCTGTGTCGGCTTTGGAAATGCCTTGTCATGAAAGCTTGGAGGTCTCCCGACGTGGCTGATTCCCACGGGCTAGATGATCCGGGTTAGTAATGTCGTGTGGGTAAAGTGTACCCCCTCTACAGAGGTTAATAAACTGTTCGAACAGCCGTGCCCACGGTCATGGGCGGATGTGAGGTGATTCCTAGCGTAGTTTTGTTTGACTACTGCTTGTGAAATTACT